TGTGTTCTCTGTTCCTCTAGAATGTTGATCTTGACGCACAGACAGACATGAGTCCTGGAGGCTGCTTCATCCCGGGACACCCAGAGCACAGGAAGCAGGGCCCCTACCTCCTAGCTCTCACCTCTGCCCAGCGTAGTCCAGAGTACCCGGAAGCCTCAAGTGGGACTTGCCTTCCTGCGGTCACTGTGCCGTGGAGGAGCCGTCCCTCAGCGCCTGCCCCTGGACTGAGCATTACCCTCACCTGTGGGGGGAGGGGGCCGGAGATCTACCTGCTTTTGCTCCTGATGGGAAAGAGCGACGTTGTGGCCTGCGGGGGGCGCTGTGGACACCACCAGGAGAGCAGCCGACCATGGGCTCAGAGACAGGCCCCAAACCCTCGGCTCCCTGGGTCTGGCCTGGCCCCAGTGCTGCCCACGCAGCAGAGCTGGCCGGCCTGACCCGTGGTGCCCTGAACCCACACAGCCCCACCTGCCCGCGTGGTGAGCGCTGCCCCGGCTCTCACGGCTGGACGCTGAGCTGGCCTCTCTGCGGTCGGAGGCCAGGCGCCCACCAGTTCGCTGTCGGAGCTGCTGCCCTCAGCCCCGGGAGCACTTGTCCTGGCTGAAGTGCTCGGGGCCTGGGCTGAGCAGCCCTGAGTGTCCACCCTCTGCTCCAGCGCTGCCCCCTGGACTCCACGTAATGAAGCTCATCCTTCATCCCGAGCACTCAGCCTGCCAGTGTCCAAGGTCGGCCCTGTCCCCTGCAGGCTGCTGTGCTCCCCTCTGGGCCCCCTGCCCCCGTGCTCCCTGCTGGCCGCCGCCCTGAAAGGGCCTCCACCCTCACACCCCTCAGTGCAGTGCCGGGAGCTAGACCCAGGGGGCCACAGGAAGCTGCTCTCTGGCTCACGACTCCTCAGGCGGCGGCGGGGACCCTGGCTCGGGCGGCTGGCTCAGGGGAAACAGCGGTCACCTCGCTGTCTGGGGCCAGTCCCAGAGGCGCGCAGAGGTGGTGCTGGACAGACCAAGGACAGCTGCATACAGGGTCAGCACCCACCCTGCTCTGCTGCCACTCCCCCCCGTTGTCCTGTTCTGGGCCGGCCCTGCACCCAGTTCCCGGTGTTGAGAGCGCGGAGGACCCAGCTAAGCACCGCCCCCAACACAGTGCTCGGCGCATCCTCCTGCCCACGCCCCGAGAGGCCCGTTCCCGCCTCTGGGTTTCCCCCGATCAGACACGGGGGAACAAGAGAACCAGAAACACCCCTCTGCCCGGTGCGACGGCTCCTTCCTGTGCGTGAGGAGGCGGGGAGGGTTTTCCTTGTCCAGTGGCTGTGGCCCTGCGCCTGGGGTCTGTCCCCCTCCCCAGCACGGCCAAAGTGCACACGCTCCTTCTGACCCAGGTCCCTAGGGGGTTCTGGTCCTGGCCAGTCTTTCCACATTTGGAAAATACGAGGACCAAAACGGACATGAAGGGCAGCCACATACTCAGAATCTATCACGTCTCCCAGGCCCGGAGCCCTCGGCTTCCCGTCACTCCAGGGTCCAGCTGACAGTGGCAAGCTCGCCTGGCTTCCTGGGCCCATGAGTCCGCTGGGCACCGTCTGTCCTGTGCCCGGCTCAGCACGTCTGTCTCTGCTGCTCCTCCGCATGGTGTTGGCCCAGCTGCCACACAGCCCAGGGTCCGGGCTGGTGGCCACGGGCCCCACAGGAGGAGGGGCTTGCCTGGACTCTCCCAGCTCTGACCTGGACGCGTGTCCCCCGCCCCCCCCTCCACCCCTGCTACTCCCCAGGACCCCGTCACAGCCTTTGCTCAGGAAGCCTCTGTCCTGCAGGGGAAGATGCCCTGCCTCCACCTCCCCCAGAATGTCCGAGAGCCAGAGGCTGTGGTGCCCGAATGTGCCCACCCAGCCCCGAGGCCTGGCCAGGAGCACCTGGCGCTCCGCCCACTGTCCTCCGGTCTGTGCGCTTGAGGGACAACCCCCTTCCCATGTGTTTGCTGCAGTGGACAGGGCCACTCGGAGGGACGCTCCGTCTCTGGCCAGGGCCTCTGCAGACTCACATCTGTGGCAAAGCTGCAGCGTTTAGGGGTGCAGGACCCTGATAGCCAGGTGGGCAATGGGCCCGGCCGGCTGGTCAGGGAGGGGCGGCATGTCCCAGGCCTGACCCAGGCGGAGCTCACCGTGGTCAGCACCTCCCACTGGCCCCTCCCTGGTGGGGCAGCCGCTGGACATTCTCCCTGACCTCCCCGCCGTAACCAGGGGTCACCTCCCACAGGTAGGAGGCTGGTCCTGCCACGAGCTTCCACGGCCTCGAGGGTCTGATGAAGGAAAAATTGCCAACCGGATTCCAGCTATTTTCCTAACAAACATATTTGCGTCTGTTTCCTGCTGTTAACAACATGTAATCTTGCCTCCTCTAAGGAAAGAAGAAATGCTTCTCCCGCAATTGCATTCAACACGCCGGGCCGTCTCCACTAATCTGTCATCGGGGATGACGGCCTGTTTGGAGAGCCGGCATAACAATTATCATAAGTGATCGCAGTCGGCCCCGAAAACAAAGAATGTGACGGCACCATTGATCTTCCGCTTTGCCGTGTTCATGGCGGTTGGGGTTTCCTAGTCAGAACCAGACTTTTTTGGGGTCATGCATATTTCATTTTAAAATTTATTATTGATTTAGTTTGATAGTAAATAACTCCATGATCGCTGAGGCTGGAAATCTGTTGTGAAAATTATGAAGCCTCTGGCCTTGGATTTTCAGCCAAAATAAAGTGGCGAGGACCTGAGGAGATGGATGTGGGTTTGCAGACTCTGGGCGCCGCTCGCCAGCCGGTCAGTTAGAGGGGACGGGCAGCGCGTGTGACGGGGACCTGCTCCCTGCCATCTTCTGCCCCACCTCACGGAAGCACAGCATGGCCTGCAGTGCAGAGCTGGACCCAAGGACGGCAGCACATGCTGACCCCCCACTCCCTCTGGGCCACTGCCGAGGGCCACCCTTGGGCACATCTGCCACTGGCAGGGGGTCACCCTGGCATCCCTGTGGCCGCTCAGCAGTGCTCGTTCCTACAGCTGAAGGGAGCACCACCCAGGCAGCAGGGCTTGCATGCATGGTCCCAGGCAGAGCCCTGCTGGACCTGTCCACCATCATCCATGGCAAAGCACCAGCGGTCCCGAGAGTGAGCGGAAATGCCCTAGGCGACCAGTTTGTTGCAGACTGAATGTGTCCCTGTCCCCAAAACAGGCCTCGCCCTCTGAGAAGCTGAAAATGCCTGTTTGGGTCAGAAGAGGGAGTGCATGCGTACATGCGTGTGTGTGCGTGTGTGTGCATGTGTACATGTCTATGTGCATGTGTGTATACATGTGTGAGTGTGTGTACGTGTGCGTGCGTGCGTGTGTGTGTGTGTGTGTAAGGGGCTTCTAGAGCTGCCAGCCCCTGCCTCAGTTGGCTTCGGGGCTGCCTGTCCCCACAGAGGCCCACAGAGCTCTCGCCTGCCCCTCCTGGGTCAGTTGGTGAAGTTGCGAGTCCCTGGTGCTGATGTTTGTGTGCAGGCTGGTGCCTCTCGGAGACAGCCAGGCTTGGGGCCACACCCAGGGCCTGGCCCCCAATACTGAGCACCGAGTTCTGGCAGAGGGCAGAGGTTGGCCACGAACGTGTGCCGAGAAGGTGATGGAGGAGTGAATGGCCACAAGGGCCCACGTTAGATAAGATGGGAGTGAGGGGAGACTGTGTTGTCTGTGGAGTGGAGAGGATGGGGTGTGGGAGGCTGGGAATGGATGGGCTGGGACCAGGTGTGTGTGTCTGGGCTCGGATGTGGGTGTCTGGGCTCGGGTGTGGGTGTCTGGGAGGACTCACTGTCCAGCAGTGACCCGGCCCGAGGACGTCTCCCCCTTCAGGAAACTTCAGGCTGAGCTCTCCTGGGGGCAGTGGCATGAGAGGCCCTGCGAGAGCATCCATGGGCTCACGAAGGACCCACGTTCCTTTCTGCTCCCATCACCCTGCAAGTCCACACACTTCCAGGATGCGCTTGACATTGCCAGAAAATATATTTCCACTGTCGAAAGTTCCCAAAGCGTCCGATTGTTAAATCTCTAGTAACTGCATCAAATGGGCCAGCTCTGAGCACATCCTACACTCTTTTCAGAGTGTGAATTTTAGGGGGGGCCTCTCACTAGATTCCTCTTGGGGTAAAGGCCAAAGATTTTACCTTGAGTCTATTTATCACTGGATGCCTTAAATGTCAAATTAAGTTACCGAATTATGATGTAACCCCAAAGGAAAAAAATTTGTCTTATGTTTGACTTCTAGAAATTTCTTTGATAATATGCAATTTTTCAGTAGCAATAGAAAATAGAATTTTCCTAATAAATATATTCTTAGCAATATTGTTAAAAATACTTTGAAAATCCATGAAATGCATAAAATCATGTGCATGAACATCTTCATCTCATACCTAATGGTGTGAAACAAAAACACCAAATAATTGATTGTTGCCTTATTATGATTTTAGCTTATTAAACAGTATTGAACTCAAACATTTCGGAAACAATCGAATTTAACATATTAATGAAAGACTTTTTTTGTTTTAGTTTATTTTTGTTTTGGGGTCCCATGAGGTGGTTCTCAGCACTTTCTCCTGGCTCTGTGCTCTGGGGTCACTCCTGGGAGCGCTCAGGGGACTCTATCCCCGCCGGGGATCAGACCTGGGTTAGCTGTGAGCCAGGCAAGTGCTTGAACCCCTGTTCCACGTCTCCGGCCACTGATAAAAGTCTCAATGCATCGAGACACACTGGGTGGAATCACTCTCCTGCCCACTCGCGACTTCTAGCTAATTTCATAGTAAATGACATGCAGACGTGAGGTGTTAGCTGAAATCATGTCAATGTACCCGAATTGTGGCAACTTTGTAAAATATATAAAGCTCAGACATTGGGATGATTTGTGATAAAGCATGTTAATGACATATTGAATCAGGCTGGCCCTGTTCCGATATTTGCCATTTCATGATGTTTTTCACTTTCAGTCTTGAGCTGCTGCGGAAGGCAGACCTTCCCCTGCTGATTGTACGGGAGAAATTTTGACCTTAGAAAGTGGAAATGAGGTTGCTATGGAAACTGGTAATTCTGCTGCCACTCACACACACTTGCACAGGTAAGTGTTCTATTATGAGTTTTGATTGATAATTTATTGACATTTTATTTTTTGGAGAAGTGAAGTAATTTTCAAATGCTTAATACCAGCTTTAATGACCATGTAATGGAAAAAGAAATTGGAGACAAACTCTCTAGCTGGTTTCGGGAGTTTAACCCTGGAAAGATCAGCCTGGGTTTGGTTCATTTTGGGGGCCACGTCTGCCAGTGCTCGGGAGCGACTCTAGCTCTGGGGGCAGGGGGTCTTTCGTGCTCAGCCTCAGGAAGCCTCCCCTCGCCCCACCCTCCTCTGCTGTTTGTACCCGGAACTGAGATGATTTTAATAACACGTCGTCAATTTCCATAGTAACTGAAGTGAGATTTTTCGTAGTAAATCTCACGTCAATGAAATGTTCATCGGAAAAGCATATGACAGGATGGCTGTTGCGGTCAGCAGGGGAAAGGGCTTCTCTTTCCTTGACAGGGCGTCTTTCCAGCATCACAGCTGGAATCCAGGTGTTTTATCTCAGAGTTAGTGCAGACACAGGGCCAAAGTGGCCTAAATGTGTCCCACAGAATGAGAAAATACCGGTAGGAGAGTTTCCTTTCCATGTCCGAGATGAGTTTCCTTTGGCCCAAGCGTGGAGACGGCGGTGTCTGAGCCGCTCGCCCGGGCCCCTCCAGAATCCGAGGGTGCCAAGCTCACACTGGCAGGGGGCCTGGGCTGGCTGTTCTGGTGGCCTTTCCCAGAGCGGGCGTCCAGGGGCTGTCCGGGTTGGGCCTTGTCACCCTGCGGGGACCAGTGTCTCCTCCTGGGTCTGGACTTGCTGCCCTTCTCTTGTAAGCCCAACTCCTGGGCCGAGCACTGGCTCCGGAGAGGCCTGAGGCCACGCAGATGGGACGGGGGCCATGGTGACTTCGGGGAAAGAAGACCCCGAGACACGCAGAGCCGGACACTGCCTGTGTGTGCGGGGCTGACCCGGGGCAGGGCCGGGAGGGCCCAGGCTGGGAGCTGACCCGGGGCAGGGCCGGGAGGGCCCAGGCTGCGGGGTGAGGGGTGCCTCTGCCCTGTCACACTCAGCCCCACTCTGCAGCTGAAGGGCCCAGAAGGTCCTCGTGTCCCTAACAGCAGCGTCTCGGGGGAGATAGAGGAGCACGCAGGAGGGAGGCGAGAATTTCAGTCTCCCCAGTCTGGGACGATCAGGCTCATCTCAAAGCTTTGAGAACATTCGACTCTGCAGAATCACAATTAACCGTTAGAGTCAGACAAAGATACAAATAAAGGAATGTTCCCCAAGGGGGAACCCCAACACACCATTCAAAGGGAAGCTTCACTTTGATTTCTGTCACTTCAGCTCCTGGTAACAAAGGCTCGGAGTTAAAGCAGAATGTCTCTTTGTAATAGTAGATTTAAAAATAACAGACTAACTCATCCAGGGGCCCCAAATTATCCACGTGGGAATAAGATGTTTCTTCCAACACACTCTCTCGGCTTCCTGTCAAAACCCGCGTTAACATCTGCCCTTTAAATATGTATATTGAATCAGCAAGTATTGCTCAAAGACCTTTTGTGTTAAGTTAAAATAAATTATTATTCTCAGAACACATATCAGGTCTGAGAAATCCTCCCATTCTCCCATTAACGTTTATTTATCCAGATTGGATGTGATTCGACATGTCCTCCTGCTTCACGTTGAAGGGGAAAGAATCACCTGCCCACGTCGCGCAGTTTCCCCGTGAAAGAATAGGTGGATCTTTTACTTTCTTGGTTTTTTCTAAACCGTAATTTTCTAAAGAGCATGATCTGAGCTGAGCTCTGCCCCGAGGAGAGGATGCGGGTCCTTTAAGTCCCCGCTTGCGTCTCCTTGGCTGCTCCTTCCCTAAACCGTCTCCACAGTTTCGCATTGTTTTCCCCAAACTTACTTCTCACTTGCAGTGAAAGGCGGGAAAGATTCGCGATTGTTTGTGAGGGTTTTCCCTTCCCAATGTCACACTTCCACACTTTCCGATATGTTGCGGTGTGGATGTGCCGGGGTTTTCGTTTAGATTGTTTCATTTAGAATGTTCTGGAATGTGTGCTGGGTCCAGGCATTCCTCTCAGCATGCGGGGACAGGCCCGCCTGTGGCCCCCACGGTGGTGCCTGCCCAGCAGTGAGAGGGCAGGGGGTGTATCTGCTGCTCTCTGGGCTCTGGAGGGCAGAGCTGAGACCCTGGGCCGGGCCGGTGTCACCACAGGGCGGGGAGGGGACAGAGGGGACGGCCACCCTGGGCCCGCTGTGGGCCTGTGTGTGTCATCGCCAGGGGGTGAATGTCCTCTGCGGCCCCTCGGGAATGGCCGGTCTCGGGAGGTGCCACCCTGAGGGGCTAGGTGCCCTCTGCTCTCCGGGGCCCCCGGTTGCCCGAAAGCCTGTGGGTGAGGGGTCCCAGTGGGCCCTGCCCGGCTGGCCTGCAGGACCCCGAGCCCCACAGGGGACAGAGCCCGACCTGGAGCACGTGGCCCGTCCTGCTCCCTCGGGAGTGTCACTGTGAGCTGTGGGTGGAGGGAGTCCCGTGCCTGCTTGGGGGCAGTCCTGGGCAGCTGTCCACCCCACCCTGACCAAGCCAACCAGTGCTCCAGAGAAAGGCAGAGCAAGGACACTGGCTCAGCCTGGGGCCGAGGGCCTGTCGGGGTGGGCAATGGCCAGAGTAAGGCAGTGCTGGACCCAGCACAGGGTCCAGCAGCCCGAGAGCTTCCAGGTCGTTCCACAAGGCTGGGCTGTCCTGTCCCCTCTGACTGGGAAGTGCTGCCCTGGCACCCATCGGAGCCTGAGGGCTGGGAGCATCTCGTAGGGGTAGCTCAGCCATGGAGCAGCCAAGGAACCAGGACTAGTCCAGGAGCAGGGTGGATGGAGAGACAGACAGACGGACAGACGAGGGTGCGTGCTCCTCTCTGCCCTGTCCAGGCCCTCCGTGGCCGGTGGTTCCATCCCAGTGACATTCTCAGAGCAGTCTCGGGAACCCCACGGGGGGCCAGGGGGTCCCCAGCCTGGGTGGAGCAGGGCAGCTGTGGGTGTCAGTGTTCTTGCGTGAGGGTCAAGGGTTCAGGGTGGCGGACATTGTCCCTACAGTCCCGCGTCCCCTCCAGCGTGGGACACAGGAGCTTCAGGCAGCGTCACAAGCCCCAGGTCCAGCCCTCCACGCTGGGACGGTTCTGCGCAGTGCTGGGCCCTGAACAGGGGGTGGACACTCAGTCCAGTGGCCACCTCAGTGCGTGAGGACAGTGACAGGAAGGGCAGTGGCCGCAGGCAGAGGTCGCTCTGCCCCACGTGGAGCCCTGGACCCCCACGGGAAGGCAGCAGTCAGCCAGAGCCTCTCCCTCACTCTCTGTTCATCTCAGATCAGCCCTTCAGCAGCTGCCAAAGACCCCCTTGCTCCTGCCCTGTCCTGGCTGGGCTTCAGGGTATGGGGCCCACCCATCCGCCCAGCTCTCAGCAGGACTACGGTTCAGTCCGAGACTCAGTTTCCCCAGCGGAGTGGAGCTCAGCCGTCCCTGCCTTCTCTGTCTGCTGCTTATAGGCAGAGACAACTAGACCCTCCCCGGGCCCTTCTCAAGGCTCCTGCCCCTGTGTCACGTCAGCTTCAGGACCTCCCCCAGAGTTCGAGCTCCAGGCAGGACGCCCGCTGCAGCCGGCAGCGGTGTGTGCAGTGGCTCTGCCGGCCCTGGACTTGTGGGAGCTTGGGCGGTCCCGGCCCCGGGAACTGGGGGTCTCGGCCACGGGCTCTGTCCATGTGAGACCCGGAGCCAGGAGCCGCCATGTGGGAACAGGCATGGCGACCGGGGTTTCGCCTTAGAAACCGATGCATCACACAGCAAATCCATGACAATTGGCAGGTGTAATAAACCTGCTTTGCTCAAGGGCCCCTGAGCACATCACGGATATTCCTCTGGGTCAGAGTATGATGAATATTGAGTGCCTCACGGCCCTCCCTGCCCCGGGTCGGTTCAGATTTATTGTTGGCATAATAGTGCCTTTAGGGATGGCGCATCAGGCTGTATTTTCAAGCCAAGGAGCATCGCTGCGATTTCTAATAGAGACGGTCCAATTTAGAGATGCGGAAAATACCCTTTTTATGCATTTCCTACTGAGAAGGTGGTTATGTGATGATCAAAGCTTCCTCCAAAGTAATTGGCACTCAGACCCTCAATGAGATTGTTTTCCGGGAACTGATGACAACGGCAGTGGAAAGGTCCCCTGCATTGGCGTGGGGGGATGGGCAGGAGTGTCCAGGAGACTGGTGGCAGAAGGAAGGGGTGTCGTGTTTCCCGTGATGCACTGGCAGGGGTGGCCAGGGGGCTGGGTTCTGAGGGGGGGCAGAGCACCATGATGTCTGTGCCAGGTCTAGGAGGAAGAGTGTGGCAAGATTTTGCCTTCTTCTTTTTCTTCTTCTTCTTCTTCTTCTTCTTTATTTTGCTTTTTTGGGTCACACCCAGCGATGCTCAGTGGTTCCTCCTGGCTCTGCACTCAGGAATCACTCCTGGCGGTGCTGGGTGACCCTATGGAATGCTGGGGAATGAACCCGGGAGGACTGCGTGCCAGGCAAGTGTCCCCCCAGCTGTGCCATGGCTCCGGCCTGCTTTGCCTTCCTGAGACGAAACGTCCTCCGGTTGGCTCTGGGAAGGCTCCTCCTTCTGTCTCCACATATGGAACATTCGTATCTTCACAGGAAGCTGCAGGAAACAGTCATGTCCACCCAGCCTCAGCCTGGCTGTCCAGTGTCCAGTCACTCCTGCTTGCCTCTGTGAGGCTGGCGCTGTCGTGCCAACACCCAGCCACTGTCCTTTGCATGTGTCCCCGAGAGCCTCGGCAGGTCCCACCTGGCCCCGTGGACCAGCCACGCTTGTTCCTGCTGTCCTCAGTGTCCAGGCTCTGCTCTGCATGTGGTCACCTCTCTTGCAGGTGGACGTGTTTTATCACGTGTGGCTGCCTGTCTTGACAGGGACCAAGGCTGGCATAGAGCAAGTCTTGCACAGTGTCCGGAGTG